TTTTGACGAAACAGAACTTGCCTTTTCAACTGATCATCGAGAAGATGTATATAGCGGCAATAAAGGATAACTTTACAAAACTTGTTGAACTTATGCGCTAATATGATCCTGTTCTTGGAATGCATTCTTCTGAAGGATTTTTTAAATGTTTTCCCAGTGGAATGGTAACCGAAAATCAAATATAATTGGTTAATATCTTGGGAAACCACGTAAAGAAAATTTGGATATTGAAAAGACGTTCGACGACTAAATACTTAAAATACCCGGACTTCTGTCTGGTCAGATGAGAAAAATTTAACGCCTATGTCATTGTAAAAATAAAAAAACATGAAAGGTGACAAAATCATTTCTTAGTTTTAGCATTAATGGACAGTTACTACTGAATATCAAGATCAACACAAATCTCTCTGGAGCAAAAAACATGATTTCAAAAATGTAGTGGATAAAATTGGACCCCCCGTTGTATGGCTGGAGTTCATTGTGGTGTTCAACGTCTTGAAACATAAATGGGAATGCTAAATTTGTGCCATGTTCTAATCATCGTCTGAATTTATGCAGATGTTCATGTCTTCAGCTGCGAATGCAAGTGCCATTACATTTTTCTGGGTGATTGATAGACTCTATACATTTTCTCCTCTTCCAATCACCGGAAGTTTTATCTTCGCATGAGAAGGTTATGATGACGCTTTTGATAACTACCCATTGGAGTGCATGTTACTAAGCTATTCGTGCAGTGAAAACCGGATTTCAAGGAGTGATTCAGACACTCGATTCATTAACCTCAGCTCCAGAAAATCTTCAAATGAGAGGGGATACACAAATAATTTTGCTTTCAATTGAAAACTTCTCCTTCATGTCACATTTGTTTTACTGGGAAGAAATTCTGGGAGAAATAAATCTCATCCAAAAGAAACTTAAAAAACCTGGTATCGTTTTGGATGTGTGTGTAACCCACATGGATGTGACCAGAATGTTCTTTAACCGAAACAGGGACAGGCTGGTGTCTGAATCGGTTAAGCAAAGTAAAACAAATTGCGAGGAAATGGAAATTCCAGTTGAAAGCGGATTAGAAGACAGAGAAATCTACCTGGGGAAAAGGAAGATGATGTATGTCAAACACTTGTGCAGGATGTAAAGAGATATTTTTACGAATGTAATGATCGACTTGTAAATGAACTGGAAGCACGATTTGACTCCATATCTCAGCTGCAAACTGTCTTCGCTGGATTATCATCGCAAGCAATCCTAGAAGATACTGAAGTCGAGTTGGAGTGAAAATTTAAAATTCTCGTTAGTGAATACGATACTGACAGACGTATCTAGGCTGCCATTCGAAGTTCTCCGACTTCGGGATTTTTTAGCGGCAGCTTCCAAAGTGGAACGTAACATGACCATGATAACCAAATCATCGGCCATCGAATGACTGAGATGGATTTATCGATGGCAAGTTCAAGAAACAGTGCCAAAAATTGTGATTGCACTACGGCTGTTTTTGACGCTCCCAGTTTCTGTTGCTACTGCAGAGAGAAGCTTCCCAAAACTGAAGCTCATTAAAAGTCACTTGAGATCGAGTATGTTGCAAGATCACTTGTCCAATTTGTCCCTCATTTCAATTGAACATGAAACTGTGGAGAAGATAGACTTTGACCAAAGTTATTAGTAACTTTGCTTTTGCAAAAGCTCGAAAGGTTAAAATATGATAACGTTTGTTCAGCTAATTTTTGAATTTGTTGTTTTTGAAGTATTAATCAACGCCATTTAGAGTGTTTCATTTATATTTTTCCTTCAAAGAAAGTTGGTGCCATTATGAATACGAGCCCGGACTGCACTTTGCCTCGGTACGTCCCTGCCTATTTGTATATATTGGTTATAGGATAAATAAAGAGAAGAGTAAAGAGTCAGACGACAGGACGTTGATTACTGATCACGTATTGTAAAACAACAATATACAACAGTTTATAATTTACCATAATCATACGCATACAAGGCGGAGAATCCGGAGGGCGGTAGCCCCTCACCCAAGGGCAAACGTTTAACGTTTAGAAATTTCGTTGTCTATAATGCTAAACCATTTATTCAAGAATTTAAAATGTACGAAAAATAATATAAATTTTACTCACTACACTATATGTGAATTACTTTATATACTATTCCTGACTTCTTATATAAAATACAAATTTTTCTATGGTATTTGTTCTGATAAACTTTCCACTTTTGTTCCTAGACTTTATGAATTTATGCGCAGTACTAGATTGGCGGCAAGGTCTCATCATTCGACAGTTGAAATGACTGGATGTAACCGTAAGCTCCATGTTAATATTTTTTCTCGCATTTATCTCTTGTAGAACTCTCTTCCGGCTTCTTGCTTTCTAATCAATTTGATTTTCAAAAATTTAAATGCAGTTTCAACCTTTATCTTCTATGCATTTAACTCTTGTTCGTTTATTGTTCTCTCTCCTTAATAATGTTTTTCTTTTTCTCATATTCTCTCACACTCAGTAATCCCTTGTGTCTGAGTGTCTTGGGGTGACATTATTCACTTAATTTATTTAATGTGGCACCATTATAAAGACGAATTTTACCTTCTATTCAATAAGGGTCATTAAAAGAAAAAGAAAAAAAGGTCAACATAGTACTTGTATTAAAAAGTAATTACTTTCTATGTTTGTCCGATACAATTGCACTTTCAATTGAAACGTTAACAACTGGTTTCAGTTAAATAACGTTGACTGTTGGTTAAAAGACCCAAATCCGACCATTTCCTTACTTTGGTATATAACTGTACTATTCTAGTATTATGTGTACGTTTGATTTATTGCCCTTGAGGATTATTGATGCATCAAGTTAATTATTATATAGTATAAATTCTCATATCTCTCTCTCTCTCTTCCATTCTCTCTCTTCCATTCTCTCTCTCTCCCTTTCTAATCGCCAAGGCTCCTCAGAAGGGTGTGATGGCTCTCCTTTGCTTTTTTTTTTGGCGGGCGGGGGGCTTTTAATATCTCTAAACTATACATTGTCATGGTTGTTTAAGGAAAATATATAGTAGAGCGTTTCCCCGTGACCTTCTCTATGGTTATGAATTGAAAATTATATTTCACCAAGGCTAGAGAACCCAATCTGTCCTACTATTTTACCTATAACTAGAAGGAGAAGCGGCGTAGTGGTGTCTTTTCCAAGTGCATTAGTGTAAAGGGAACGTAATCGCAAGTTTTTCTTACAGTATTCGAAATCAAGAGTTTAGTTTCGAGACTGCAAAAAAAATGTTGTTTTTTATCTTGTATGTTTTTTCTTTTTATTTTGTTTTGTTTTTCTTTCTTTTTTCTTTTTTTTTTTTTTTTTTAGCCTGTAACCTCCAGTGTGTGGTTTTAATGAATTGAATTGCCGTTTAACAGCGTGGAAAACAGGATTGTTGAGGCGAGTTCAAATTCTGGTCGAGGATTTGGTTTGTGAAATGAAACGCGTGTGCCACTCAGAAAAATCTGCATCCAGTCTAAAGAATGTTCTTCCCAAATCTCGACGAGACATTTCTGGAGTCTTGGTGGCAAATTTTGCCCAGTTTCACGCAAAATTAAACAGACTTCATGTCTTTTCTTGCCTCTCCTACTGCTGGAACCACCTGCTAAGTCAAACGAGTGGGTCGGCTAACTACCTCTCTTCTGGACTCCTGCCCAAATAAATAGTTTTTATTTCTTTTCTTTGTCTTGTCAATTTCCTCTTCCCGTCCATCAGTGCTTCTGGCTAATTTACCTTCAAAGTAATTCAACTCAAGTGAACACAAACTGGTCGCCTTCCATAAAACTGCCAATCAACGCTTTCTCTCACATCACGATCAGTAACATCTGAACATGATCCTGCTATGCTTTTTTTATGGACAGAGCGTGTGAGCAACGGTGAGGTCTTAGAGAGGTTGCAAACAAGGAGGAGGCTTATACTTAATATCAGGAAGAGGCAGCTGAAGTTTCTGGGGACACATAATGAGGAAGGAGGGCCTGGAAAATTTGATACTCACGGGTCGAATAGAGGGAAAGAGAGACAAGGGAAAACAATGCGTGACATACCTGGCGGACTTAAGCAAGTGGATGACAGAACGTGGGGGAGGAAGCAGAGGGAAGGAACTTGTTGAAAGGTGCAAGGGATAGAGGGAGGTGGAGAGCCATGATCGCCTACGTCCTAAAAAAAACATGGCACATAAAAAGAAAGATCCCTTCTTTAACACAATCTTGCCTCCAAACACTATGAGTTTTTTTTTGTTTTTCTTATATGCTATAAAGTCTAGTTTCGGATAACTCATTAACTTTTTGAAGTTTCATTGGTTAAACATCACCCTACTTTAGAAATGTTGTAACACTTAATGGAGTAATGGATAGCGGCTCGGATTGAAGAATCGTAAAGCCGAGTTCGAATTCCAGTCGAATCCATTACATTCACTTATGTGCTAATACCCTTGGGAAAGGTATGAATCCTCTTCCCCCCACCTCCTCTCAGCTATGGGTAAATAACAGACCAGGTTCTATAGCTTTGGATGGCAACTAGTCTACCGCAGAAAGAAATGGCAATCTACTGCGGGAAAAATCTGCTTCATCAGTTATGTATCGAAAGATACATGATCGCCTAAGCGTGAATCTCGCATGACACATAACTGACTGATTTCATTTTCATATATTTTGAAACCTCTATAGATTTCTATTCCGTCCGACCAGTTTGTTTAGTACACAGGTTAATCAACAGATAACGGAGTAATTATGCGTTTAGCTTGAATGCACAGAGTGCAAATCTCAAGAATGACATATAGCCGACGCTGCGTACATGTTTTAGATTTTTAAGCAATCTTAAAAAAGGGGTCAAATACAGTCGCGAATTGCGTAATTCTAACACTCAATTAACCTTACACATGCCATCCCCACGAAAAACCCAGCAGCCATCTTAAGCTACATCCACCATTCTTGTTACATTTCTCTTTTCCAAAAGAGGGGGAAGAAACCTGTCACAAGATATCACGTTGAAAGACCGGTTCTCGTACATTCACCGAAATTAAGCAACGTCGAGCCTGGTCACTACTTGGATGGGCGACCGCTTGGGAATACCAGGTTTTGTAAGCTTGGATATGCGGGCAATGTAATGTATAACTGCTCAGAATTGGAAATCGAAGAGCTGACTTCCAGTTCCAGTCGAGTTCGTTATATTTACTTACGTGCAAATACCTTTGGAAAAGGTTTGAATCGACCTCTTCTACACCCCACCCCACTACTAGCTATGGATTAATTAGTACGATTTGTATCAGAAAATCATTATTATTTCTATTAAATTCTTATAATCTAAAAAATATTTTCTGGTTTTAAATAACCTGCAAAAGGTTGATAAGCCATAAAAACAAATCAATCAGTCATATGTTTAGACGTCTCTATTATCCATAAACCGATTCCATTTATTCCAACTAAAAACATAATTCTGGTTTGATTTACAGTGTTCCTGGCAATTTATATCCAGAAAAAATCCCCTGTATTATCGTCACAAGTTAAAGACAAATAAATGTCACTTTGGTATTAGTTAAGTCATACTAATAAAGTAGGCTTATGATAAGGTGAATATTAGTCGTTTCCTTATAAGGAAACATTCGTCATTCATTGACTGAACAGCCAGTTCCATTCAAGTTACGCTTTTCTTCACTCTCTGGCATTCAGGCTAGGATCAAAGTGTAGTATCTGTTATCCTTATGTAGAGGACCGGAGGATGAAGATGAAAAAAAAACACGTACGTTTATATTTCCTGCTAGAAGAAGGTCCAGTACAAGAAAAATGGCGGAATCTTGTTGTGTCCAACCAAAGATGAAAGAAAACAAACAAAACCGATATATATATATATATATATATATATATATATATATATATATATATATATATAAACAAAACAATTTTACAATGGACAATAATATTTGTGTGTGTGAACGTTTGTGTTTGTTCTTTGGTGAATGTTCGTATTTTGGTGAATGTTCGTACGTACGTGTATGTGTGTATAATGTTCATGGCGTCTTCCCACAAGTGGGAAACGCTATCTTCTAAGAGAGCTTACATCGTACTCGCTGAAATGAAGAAATGAAAAAGAGAATTTACCTCATCTCCACACGGGGTGGGATGCGGCACGAGGCCTGAAGGAAAGAGAGATCGAGGCAAGAAGTCGCCCAGTATTTATAGTATGGGGAGAGAGACCCCTAATGATCATTTGGGAATTAAGGAGGAGATAACTCCGACACTTATCTCTAATGGAAATGACAATGTTAGCTGTTTCCTGATAAAAGAAACAATCGGCATTCATCGGTTGACCAATCAGTGATGTTTTCGGAGTTTTTTAAGGAAATCACCTGGAATCAGTTCAGAGTGACACAGCATAGATCAGCTGTTTTTTGCTTTATTTTTTATTGCTATGATTTAATTATATCGATGTAGCTCAAAAGATGAAATGGACCTATTAGATAGAGTTTCAGAACTGCCAAACCTCTTCCTATGTTTAAAAGAATCCGTCTTTTTAAGGTAACGCCCATTACTAATAGGCGTTGGCTAAGCTTAATATAGTTTAACATAAGACCAAAAGTGTGAGGTATCCAGCGGGGATCGAAGTCACGACAACAGTGATAGTCTTTTAAATACAACTCCACGGCTTCTTATAAGCTTTATTCCTCTCAAAGACAAATTTCATTTTACGTTTTATATTTGTAAATACCGTATTTTCTCGTGTATAATACGACTTGAATATAATATGACCCCGTGTTTATTCAGGAAATAAATTTCATAATTGGGTATAATGCGACACGGTAGTACAGTCATCCCTATGTAAATAGTTTTGAAAAGTTGCACTATATTATCCATTATTAAAATCTCAATATCGTACATATATTTCACTAAAATATTTAAGTTTTTACGACATTAAAAAATGTAAATAAATCGGATGTTTAGCCATTTCTTCTCATTTCCGTTTCAAAACTCATTTTCGAATTTGTTTGTGCTAATTTCGTGTATTTGCCATCTTGCTGTTTTAAATAAGAGGGTTTTTTAAGCTGAATAAAAATTTCTGAAAAAATTTCGTCGATAGTGTAATTTACCCCATTCTACCACCAACAACCTCAGAACACCATATATTTACTTATCGCGTATTAAAGTTTGCATTATGACATTTAAAGTGAACGTCTGGTAACTATTAAGTTTTCAATCAAGAAAGCCAGTATTGATAACTGTGTTTTCAATTTAATGCAAATTCAAGAACCAATGGACATAAATCCGTGACGATTTGATGTAAAATAATAAGATTTTGAGGTTTTAATCCTACATTAACATATCTGGGCGTACTAATGAGTCCTGAAAGGTAACCAGGCGCACCCAAAGTTAACAGAAGAATAATTTATTTTATATTTTAAAAAAATCTTTATTTTTACAATTCTAGACACAAAGCACATGGTTTCCATGTCTAAGTCATGCCTTTGACATTTGATATTTTAAACTGAATGTTAAATTCCTTAATCTTTAAGAAGGCGGGGATAATCTTTTCCTTTTTGCCTTCCTCGAGGGGTCGAAATCATTCTTTATCGGCCTCTCTAAATATATATATATATATATATATATATATATATATATATATATATATATATATATATATATATATTTAGATAAAAGTAGATGCTTCATAAATTCCTTTCAAAGAAAACTGCACTTCTAATCTTTGGGAATGCTAAACCAAAATTTCATATTTTCAAATTTCAGGACTAATTATTCCTTATTAAAACTGAAAGTGCGTCCCAGAGTTTGAGTTATTTTACAAGTGTGTCCTGAAGTAAATAAAAGGCTGAGAAACACTGAATTAGAGACATGAACATTTTCTTTATTTTCTACAATCTTCTCAGGTGTCATCAAGATTTCAATTGTAACAGCTATTTTTTTTTTAATTCTTTTAATGTTAGGTCAGTTGATTAACATTTCAATTCTTACTGGATAATTCAATACCCTTTTCTTTTTTCTTCTTCCTTTCTCTTAATCCAGAAGCAAATATATAACAGAATAATGAATAAATTTGTTTAATATCAGCTTTTCTACAGTAAACATAATCAAGAACATTTACATAACTTTCTATGTAAGTAGTGATAATTCTCAATCAAATGTCTAGTCTGATTCTCATATTTTGAAGTATGGACGCATTTCTTTAATAAGGATAGTCGGTCACCCATAACGATATTTACGAATAGGTCTTTCGTGTTGCTGGCTCCATAAATTCACTACGACGTGAAAATGAGATTATATCACTCAACAACCGGAAGTGCATTACCGTATATAATGTGTGAGTGCTGCATATTGTTGACATTCCTTCGGCCTTACTACAAAAGAATGTGTGATTTTATGCTTTGTTGATACGTAGTTGGGGCAAGTTGACTTATTTTTCTGTTGTTGTCTCAAGTTTTCTTTTCTTACTTTCCAATGCTTTGGGCCGCACACCCTTGTGGTAGGGGGTCTCATTTTGTTAAACATATTTTTATTTTATCATTAGCTTTTAGTCTCTAAATCTAAATCATCAAAATATTATATATAATAAATATATATATATATATATATATATATAATTTCACAGTTGAAATGGCTAGGCGTAACCGTAAGTTCTATGCTAACAGTTTCTTCTGTCGCACTTCTCGTTTGTAGAAATCTCTTCTGGCTTCTTGCTTCCCAGTCAATTTTGATCTTCAAAAATTTAAATGCAATGTTAATCGATATTTTCTGTGTTCTTAATTCTTGTTCTTTTATTATCCTCTCTCCTTAATAGTAGTTTTTCTCATATTCTCTAACTCTCAGTAACCCCTTGCGTCCTAGTGCTTTTATTGCCTTGCTCATCGTTAAATGGTGATTTTATAAGGATAGCTTACATTCGGCACAAGGACGAAAGTAGGGTGCACCCAGTGAGGATCGAACTCACTACACAGTCGTAATTGATATAGCGAGACAAACTTGTTAACCCTTACACCACTTCGAAGGGCTCAAACGATTTTTTAAAACGTAACTTAGATGTGGCACAAGGACGAAAGTGTGGAGACCCAATGAGGATCGAACTTACTACTGCGAGGAACTTTATAACTGGTTTCTTTCAACTAAAAAGAATACAAAGATTATTTTTATATTAAAAAAAAATATTAAAATTAGTTATACGCAGAACTCCTTTAAGAAATTAAATCATCAATTTTTTCTTTCTTTTTTTTTTTTTTGTAAAACAGGATCACCAATTACCAAAAACGTGCTCTGAATCGTAATGTAAAAATGCATTGAAACTTTATTTAGAAAAGATTTTATGAATGATATATATATATATATTTTAATTAATAATGAATTTTTACAAGAATTGTTTTCATTTTTTCATTTTTAAATTAATAAAGTTCCAAATCTTTTACATTTCTGTATTAATTTGTACTGGTTAGGTGATACTGTTTTTAAAAAAAAACTATATTTACTAATTATAAATGGAAAAGCTTTCTACAACTCATCGAATAACAATATTTTAAGAAGGATTTTGTTTTTTGTTTTTTTGTGTGTGCATGTGTATAAACGTATCGATGTTTGTAAATACGGACGACCATACATGACATCATCAGAAAATAAGAGTGGTAACTATAGTGAATTTAAAGCCAAAGTAACTAAAATTCAATCAAGCATTAGATTAAAGAATATTTTCCTAAATTTTTAAGATTACTCGGTAGTTAAAAATTATATAAAATAGGCTCTCACGTTATATTACACAAGTAGAAAAAAATCAGATAAACTTCCGGTTGTCAGTATAGCTGACAAACTGACAACATCTTAAATAAACAATTAACACCTTGTTAAAAAATAATTTCTGCGATATTTTGAACAAAAAGTAATATTTGTTTCAAATCAAATTGAATAAACTTTAAATCAGCTTTAAACCTACCTTTATAGAATCGGTAGAAATTCGGGATGCCATTATTGTGTGTGTATATATATATATATATATATATATATATATATATATTAACAAATATACATATTATATGTATGTGTATATACATGTATATATATGTTTATTAATATTTACTTAATTGCTGTGTTATA